GATAGGCTCCAAAGCTACACAGAGAAACCCTGTCTCGAAAAACCAATAAATAAATAAATAAATAAATAAATAAATAAATAAATAAATAAATAATGCAACTGCTATACAACTGGCAGTTACATTCCTGGCCATTTATCCCAGAGAAAGAACAAGTCACACTAATCTTGAGAGCAGTTTTATTTGTAGTAGTTCAGAACAGGAAATAAGCATTGTGTCTGTCAACATGACAACAGCTAAGATAAGATATATCCAAAAATGGATGATTACCTAGCAAAACAGGAATGAACTGCTTGTATATGAATAAATTTCCAATGAATTAAAGTGAGTGAAAAAGCTAATCCTAGTGGTTACATGGTGCATGATTCGTTCACATAAAATTCCTCAATGACAACACTGTTGAAGTGGAGACCAGACCAGAGGTTGGTGTACATGACAGAGGAAGGTATGCTCAGAATGGAGTTAGGATTCAATGGATGCATTAAGTGAACATGAGCAAAACTAGAAAAATCCCAAGAGGGTCGGCGTCAACAATACTACTACCTGGGCACTACAGCACAGTTTTTAGTCAATTTTGTAATTAAGAATTTCATACATGCACATGTTTTTTGATCAAGTCCCCTCCTCCCGGTCCCCCTTCCAATACCTTTCCTATCACTTCCCCTTCCATGGTTTCCTCCAGTTTTCATGTGGTTTTTCAAAACATGACACCAGTATTTGCATGTGTTTAGGGTCATCTATTGGAGCAAGGATAACCTCTTAGGAGTCACATCTGTGTAGAAAACAAACCATTTTTCTCTCAGTAGCTACTGTGAGCTCATATGAGCAACTTTTCTGTTATGTCCAGAAAACTCTTGTTCACTGCTGCTGGCTCTTAGAATCTCTCCCCTCTTCTGCAATGACCCCCGAGAGGGGGTGTTACATAGATGTCACATCCAAGGCTGACTACTCTAGAGTCTCTTATTCCTTGCACATTGACCAGTTGTGGGTTTTGGTGTTAATTGTCATCAACTACCACAAAAATAAGGTTCTCTGATGAGGGCTCAGAGATGTATAAAGATAAGAATGTACAAAGAAGTTTAATTCTATATCAGTGGTTCATAAGAGTTCATAAGAGATGTAACCCATTCCTAGCACTGGGCTTTTTAAAAATTAGCCTGGGATTCCTTCCACCCCCTATTACAGGGAAATACCATTTAAACTTTTTATGTATGTGGATGTCTATTTTTAGGAAGCTTCTACAATAGAAGATAGATGCCTTCTGTCTCTCTCCAGACTCCCCCCTCTCCCCTGTCTTCCCAGTCCCCATCCCACGTAAGTGCACCAGTTTTATAAGATGTTACTAACAGGGGAAACTACATGAAGGATGCACAGTATCTCTGCTGAGTTTCACAACTGCACATGCAGCTACAACTATCTGAAAAACATTTTACAAATTTAAGGTCTAATTTTTATAAAATTAACTTTCTATAAGAGTGTCAAAATCAAATCTAAGAGTTTTCATTTCCATTGATGCAAGTGTATGCTCAACTCTGCAATAGGGTCAAGTTTATTCTATACTTCTCTGCAGACACTTTCAGTACCAGAAAGCATTCTGATACAGTTCAATCAAACAACTAAGCCACATCTAACGGATCCTGTTAACAGTACCTGGAACACAGTACCAAAAACACTTCTTATGGCGACTCAAGGAATTGAGGAATGCAAAATGTGGTTACATAACAGCTTTCCATATTTTAACACAGAATTAAAATATGAAGCCCCTGGGAATGAAATGCAGCATTAGAGGGCATAGGCACTTTGTAGCTAGTGTTCCCATCTTAGTACCAGTCAGGAGACACACTGGAAGATACAGCAGGGGAAATACTAACTCAAGCATGTGCTTGATAGAAACCTGCTCTGTGGTCAGAGCAGTTTAAATATGACTGCTCTTCATGAGGACTCTCACACAGCTAAATGTGGTTGAAATGATCTAAGAATTTCAGCTGATTACTATCCTAAAAAATGAACTGTGAAAATTTCCATCTGTGTACTCCTTCCAACCAAAAACCCGGCCTACTACACAGTACTGGACATGGATAAAGAGACTTCCATATGTCAGCCATGGGATGCACATGGACTGGCTCACTTACTACTCACAATTTTATGTGTATACATCACCTTCACATTACAGATGAGGAAATGAAATAAACAAGCTACCAAGTGATTGATGGGGATTTGTGGCTAGGTCTGTTGAAGCCTGCAGCCCATGATCCTAATCAAGGAGTTTGGCAGGTAGGTTCTTTTTCGATGTCAGTTCATTATCAGTGTTGGGAAGCCTTGATCCTCCATGCAAAAACAAACAAACAAACACACACACACCACCTTCTCTTGAAAGGAACTTGTGCATCAGCCATCTCTGGCTCTCATGCTTCCCAAGAAAGGG